TCCCTGCCTAGTAGTGCATTGAAATTGGCATGTGATTGGACAACAACAAACACAGTGGGCCTTGAATAAGTACCCACTTTCACATCTAAGGCAATCATGCCTTCTGAACTCGATGTTTTCCCACTGAAATCAGAAATCATGATATTATGCCTAACTAAGTCTTTTAATTCGATACCAAATCTTTTCAGCATAGTGATTGACAATATGTTCACCGCTGCACCACCATCGACAAGGACTCTATTCACCTTTTGTCCTTGAATCTCGATATTCAGTAATAAAGGCTTCAGATGAAACCTCATCTCAGATGGAGGATCAATAAAAGCAACATCTCTATGGGGTACCTCGCATGATGCTTGTGTTACCCATGTCACCTTTGGTCTCATGTCTTCAGAATAGAAATCATCCTCTCGATCGACATTACCTTGTTCTTGGTACTCTTTATACTCACTAACATATTCTGCGGGTAGTATCGATATTACTCCGATTTGATGTTCATCCCAACTACCCTCATTTTTGTCATCGTCAAAGTCTCTTGCATATTGGCTCCCCATTGGTACATTACTCTCTTCAAAGTTCCTGTAATTATTGAACCTTCCCCAGTAAGGGATTCTCCCTCCTCTTCTCCAGGGCCTTCCTCGAAATCTCCTTTGGAATGTTGGAAATCCAATATTTGATCCTTCAACATATGAAAGTCTCTCGAAGACATCATTATTTTGAAGTCTGGCCCTTCCTTCTCGAGAAGGATATATTTCTTTTCTAACCCATTGTTTCTGATTTCTGCTAACACCCGAGCCCACAGATTTCTGCTGACTTTCCTCCACTGTGGCTTGGATAGTTTGATCTACTTTATCACTGCAGTTTTTATGTTGACTCTCTATTTTCTTACTCTGTCCTGCCCTGAAGGCCTTAGCAGCTGATCTGTCGAACACCGCACTGCATCGTGGGCATAATGTCACCTCTTCATCCTTCTCCTTCTTTCTAGTCAAAAACTCGACGAGGGAATCTCCTGATCGAGGATAGATCTCTCTTTCGAATTCTTTCTCGAACTCACTTAAGTCGAATTCTTTCTCGAACTCACTTAAGTCGAATTCTATATCTTCTTCTGACATATCCATTCTGATATGTTTGGGATCAATGTCTTCAGTAACATCGATCATACCTACAAAGGTCGGATTTGTCAATCGGACATCTTCAGTCATGCCCGTTTGAGATTCGACATACCCTACTTGAATCTCGAATGGACTCGTATCCACTTTCATTGACATCTCCTCAAACTTCAGTCTTCCTTGGTCGATCGCATCTTGGATCGTGTTCCTGAAATGTATACAATTATTAGTCCAATGTCCATAAATATTATGAAATTTGCAATATTTTCGACCATTCCTTTGTTCTGCAGAAGGCAGTTTATGATCATCACTCAACTTAATCTGTTTGTCTTTTAATAAAATATCGAAGATTTTATCTGCCTTTGTTACATCGAAAGTATACGTTCGATTTGACATTTTATCTTTTACTTCATTTTTCTGTAGCAATTTACAGATATATGGAGCTCCTACTTTGAGCTCTGCTATATTTACTTTCTCATCGACAGTTTCTTCAATATCAGTTTCTGTCTTGGGATCTGTCTCATACACATCATTTATATATGCTACTCTTTCTTTCTTCATGGGTTTCTCGAATTTTTTATACCTTTGTTTTTCATATTCGATTTGTTCCACTCTTCTCACTTTATCGGCTAACTGAGCCATATCATTCAACGGTAAATTAACTAACTTTTTCCTAATCGAAAATTCTAAGCCTGCAGAGGTCATTCTTACTAATTCATATTCAGGAATTTGAGTAAAGCATCTTGACTTCATTTGTCTAAATCTATTCAAATAATCATCTATGCTTTCATGATTGTATCTCTTTATGTTCATTAAGTCGATGAGACTTACTTGAGTCTCTCCCCTAAAGAATTGCTCATGAAAATTTCTTTCCAATTGCAACCAATTATATATCGAATTGGGTGACAATGAAGTAAACCAAGTGAAAACATTCTTAGTTAATGAACTAGGGAAATATTTCATTTTTAATTCTTCACTCATCGCTAGGTCCCCACATTCAATCTGATATCGCACCACATGTTCGATAGTGGACTCACCAATTTCTCCAGCAAATTTGGTAAATTTAGGTATTTTGTATCCTCGAAGTAACTCTGTCTCGAGAATCGTATTTGGAAAAGGAGAGACAAAATATGTTTGATTGGGTGGTCTTAATTCCATTCCTTGGGGATTCATCCTTTGTCCTAGCATGTGATTATACTGCATGTTATTATACATATTTTGAAATCCTTCATTCAAATTTCCGTAAATATCATTCCTCACCTGTTGATATTCATTCCCCATGTGTTGATGTTGATCATTGTTTCGATTTCTCTTTAATAAATAAGGAGGATTGATATTAGCATTCTGATTGGCATTATTTTCGACCCTTGTTTGTCGGGGTATTGCCAATGCATCCCCGATTCGTGACATTTGGTCTGCTAGTATTTCAAAACTAGTAGTAGTGTTTTGCACTAATGGATTTAATACTGTAGTCAACTGTTGTGATAACATGTTAACCATCTCGAAATTGCTTTCGTCCATTTGTTGTCGAAGTACTCCTAATGAGTTACTGGAAATTCCAGTACCAGCATTTTCAATAGTCTCAAAATTGGATTGATGATAATCTCTATCGAATATATGTCTCCCATGATCCAGGTTTGACACTGGAGGCGTCTGTTGTGTTCCTAAATTTTGCACATTCCCTGAATTCTGGGGTGTTACTAAATTTTGAGATACCCTTAAATTTGGGGATACTCCAAAATTTTGAGGCATGCCTAAGGTTTGACATGTGCCTAAGTTTTGGGGCATTCCTAGGTTAAATCTCGTACTTCGTTGTATTGAAGAAGTACCAGCCCCATTCATATTATTAATCGAAAAACCAGGTGGTCTTACGCTCATATACGACCCTGCATATGTTGTTATAGGGTTTCCCATAGTTTGCATATTGTTCGATATCACAGTACTAGACCCTACTTGAGTGTTTGCTAATGTATTTGAACTTTGTTCATTACTCACAGGTATCGACATACTCGCAGTTGTCGATATTACAGGCATATTCCCATTATGACCTTGCCCCCCAGTGTTTGGAGGATGTGAACCATTTAGAACCTCACTGTTACTCTGATTATTTGGTGGATGACTCATTCTTATTACTCGTCCACTCCTTAATCTCATACACTTTCGAACTAACCAATTTTGTGTTTTCGACACAAGCTACCCCCTACCTGGCGCGCCAATTTGTTTCTGGTGAAAATTTGATTGATTTCGATTTATGGGGAGTTGAGTCCTAATCAAATCTCGACCATGTAGATTCTTTTTACTTAGGCTAGCAACTAGTTTTCAATCGAAAAGTGCATGAGAATCGAGAATCTCAGAAATGCAACCAACATTACTTAAAGTGCAAATCGCAAGTACTATTTTTGGTATTTTTTTATTAGGTAGCGTGAAGTAAAGAGAGCAGTAAAATTGTTGGATCGAAAAGTGGTGCAAAATATTAAATTGCAGAGAAACATAAATGCGGAAACCTCAAAATTTGCATTAAGTGTAAATGACAAGGAATCGAAAATTGCAGAATTGTAAATAAGCAGAAAATCAAACTTTGCAGAAAAGTAGATAACAGGAACTCGAAATTGCAAGAAAGAGAATAACAAGAAATCGAAATTGCATAAGTGTAAATAGCGAGGAATTTAAATGCAGAATCTCAACTTTGCATAACAGTAAAATAACATAGAATGAAAAGTGCAGAAACTTAAAGTTGCTTAAACGTAAACTGCATCAAAATAAATTGCATGAACATAAATTACCAAGGAAAGTACAAGAAACGGCAAAGACAATCAATGAAAATGGAAATCCAGATCGCCAGAAACTTCATGATTTCGTCGTTCTCCGGTAGACTTTTCACTAACGCTTCTGTTGTCTCTGCCAATTTCCTCTTCTCCTTCATTTTTGCTTTATTTATAGAATGCCTTCCAAGTAACCTCCCAGGAGCAGTTAACAAAACTGCCACCACGATCCATCATGCACGTCCATCAGTTCCACGGTTTGAAAACTGTATTTCACGTTCCCATGCATGAGATAACCGCCCTCTTGACCTTCGATCTCTGCCACGGTTTAGAAACCGCTTCCCATGTTCTATGTGCGTGTTAACTGTTCCTCTCTCTCTAACTTAGCCAGAATTTCGATGGTCGTGCGTGTTAACTTTTCCCTTGATTTCGATTTCAAAATCTCGAGAATTTGGCATTGCCTTCCTCGATTTTCTTCAACTATAGACATTAAATATCCCACCTTCGATTCTCGATTCTGATTCTTGATTTATGTGTCCATACTGTTACATGGTCGTCGAGTGCTTTCCAACCATCTTTTCACTTTATCAGTTTTTTAATCAATCATATGATCCTCGACTTTTCTTTCCTTCGTTTTTCGATCCCTTTATCGATTTCCTACTAACATCGGGATAACCACTAAATTTCTTGGTTAATTCATCATCTAATTACTGTGAACTTTTAAAGTATATTTTCTTCACTAAAATCCATTATATGGAATCTCATTTTGTAAAACATCCTTAATTAATTGATGTTGAATGTTGTGCTATCGAATGCATAGGGTATCTGACAATCATGGGTTAATTGAAAAGGTATGAACTGTCTGCTGATTTGATCATAAATGAAATAGGCGTGTTGACAGTTTACTATTGCAATCAAAAAGTCAGTTTGGTCATCATTCACAAACACATAGGAATTCAGTTTAGTTGTCTGTACATTTGACAGCATTGAGTTATATGTTACTTTTGATTGGTTATTACTTATTGATCGGGTATATATATCAGGACCGCCTGTTAAACGCAGGAAGCCACATTCAAGAAAACATGCCTCTGATCAAGAACCATGTTTTATGAGAGGAGTTTATTACAAAAATATGAAGTGGCAGGCAGCCATAAAAGTGGACAAGAAACAGATCCATTTAGGGACAGTTGAGTCTCAAGAAGAAGCTGCGCACTTATATGACAGGTATTGTTTTGAGTTGTACCCATATTAGTGCTATGAATGGTCTTTTTAAATCACTTCTAAGTCATAGTTATTTAGAGAATATGCATTTCTTACAGTTGTGCTTGATAAACTGCCAAATTTTGTTATTCTTTTGTGTACTGCTCCTAACAAATTTACAATAATAATATGTACATTTTAGGTATTAAATTTTTACCATTAAACCTTCTACCAAATCAATACACAATCTTTATTCCTGGCCTAAAACTCGTAGAGCTGTACTGCTGTGACCCCTGTTTATCTTTTTATAGCACACACTCTTTGATGCCCCTTTTCTGTTTTTTAGTAAAATTGCATTGGGAGAAGGGTTATTGTGTTTATCCTAGGTAGTTATCTAAACTCCTCTGTTTTTTTTTCAGTAGTAACATAGCATTTGGAGAAGGATTGTTGTGTTATCCTAGAGAGTTATCTAAATTCCTCTGCATGTATGCGTATGAGACTTTATTTTTTTAATTGAGTTTGAGAGCCATTTTTTGTAGCAAGTATTTGTGTTATAGTAATTCTACATTCTCTACTCTTCCAAAGATTTTAAACGTTCATGTATGTTAGTCTGCATAAGCAAGTTCATGCAGCCCTTTGACTATGTTTTTTTGTAGACCCCAATTCTACATATCTTCACTAGAAGTCTCAGTATGCCAAAGAGATTTTAATATCTTCAATGAGTATAAACTGGCAAAATGTCTATCATTGACAAAACACAATGTTTCCTCCATTACAGAATGATTATATTAATGTTCTTTCATTGTATTAACTGAGCTACTACTGTGTGTGATTTATTTTTTATAGGGCTGCTTTCATGTGTGGGAGAGAGCCCAATTTTGAGCTTCAAGAAGAGGAGAAAATGGAATTGTGTAAATTAAAATGGGAAGATTTCTTAGTAATGACTAGACAAGCAATTAACAGCAAAAGTAATTCTCTTCTCTTTCAATTATTTTATATATTTTCTATGTTTTGTTTACTTAAATTTTGACAGTTGTTTCATACAAAATTTTTAACAGAACAAAAGAGAAAACATAGTTCAGAAGGTAAAGATACTAAGCTGGAACTTTCAAAGCATTCAGATAATAAGCAAGGAGTAAGTCAATCCAACAGAGTCAAAGAAACATCAATCTCCAAAAGCACTCTATTTAAGACTGAAAAATGATCTATTTAAGAGTGAAAAATGAAGAGGAAACATTCAGTTTTCAGAATTTAGTTTTTAATTATTACATTGATTTTCATTTACATTAACTAATAAATTGTACATGACACAGTTCGTAGTTATTTCTAGACAATGAAGATTCATTTATTCGTTTATACTAAAATGATGCATGAATGAATATTTGTTTATAAATAAAGTTTATTAATAGTGACAATTAAAAATTATTACTAAAATATATTTTAAACACTTATATTTAATGATGATCTAAGTTTATTTGAAAATTATTATTGTCATGTTTTTTTAAAAGAAAAATTAAAGCAAAATATATAAAAAATACAACTTTTTAATATTAACATAATTATTTCTCATTATTATTTTCAATGGGTTGTATCTAGGAAGGAGATTATTACGATCAATTTTTGTGTTCTGTTTGTTTTAGAGTTTTAATTTATTACAATTTTGTCTTTAAAAGATATTTAAATAGGTTAAGATAAGTTAAGAGAGAAAAGTGTATATAAGAAAAGATGTTTTGATAGGTTAAGAAAGAAAAGTGTATATAAAATATTTTTAACTTAAATGTGACTTTGGAGTGTACTGAAATACAAACAACACAGATGAACAATTCTTATTTCTAACTATCATTTGAAAAAGTTTAATGTAAAATTGTAAAAAAAATAATAATAATAATAAAAAGATTGAAATTTTTGAGGTTTCATGTTTTATCTTACTTTATATTCTTTTAGAGAAATCTTAATTATACTATGGTACATTCTTCTTTCATATTTATGGTGTTTTTAGTCTTTTCTTCTATGAATAATTTAACAATTAGTATAATTTAAAGACTTTTTTAAAAACTCCTAGAAATCAAATTTGTAAAAGAGATTTTTTTTTCAAAAACAAAAGTAATTTTATATAAAAAAAATTATAAAAGAGTGACTTCAAAATTTATTATAAAATAACATCTATATATAAAGTACAAATTTTAATTCTTAAAAATGTATAATCATTTTAAATTAATCTATAAACATTAATAAATTAAAATAAATCTTAGAAGTGACTTCTCTTCTTTTTATATTAAATTTTATCATAAAATTATAAATTATTTTAATATTAATATATAGAAATTAAATTATTTTGTAATAATATGTAGATAATTATTTAATATGAACAATAAACAGAACAAGTAAAAATTATTTTTAAAGATTTTTTACAATTTATTATAATTGAAAAACTAACTTAAATTCCAAATAATCAATAAGTTGGGTGGAAGTAATTATTATGTTGAACTAAAATTTGAGTTGAATCTTAGGTCAATTGACTATAATTTATCAAGCAAAATCTTGAAACATTAGTTGACTATATATTCATAGACAAAGAAAAAAATACACTGAAGTATCAATGCAATGAATCTTATTTTACTTTATTGAGTCCCATCATATCATATCATTTTTTTGTTTTTTTTTTTATAATTTTATTATATTTTTTTTCAATATTTTACAACTTAAAATATTAATTTAATTGTATAATATGTTTTTTTTTTTAATTTTAAGACTGAATATCTTTTACGAAACTCATGTATTAATTTTAAAATCCTCACAATATCACATTAATATTAGAAAAAGAAATTTTGGATTAATGGATTTAAATAAATTTCAAATTGATTGATTAAAAAAATATTCGAAGATGAGTACATTTGAAAAAGTTCCATATTGAAATTTTAAACAATTATGTTCTTGCCAAAAAAAACCGGTTAGAAATAAAATAACAAAGGATTATTTCATCATTTGGATTTATAATTTATAAATTTCTTACCATGATAATAAAAATACTTGTTTAATAATAATAATAATTTATAATAGTTAAATAATTTATTACCTTAAGATATATTAAAAGAGTCTTTAATTTAAGAAAATATTCAATTGAATTATTAGACCTTTGAAGATAGGTTTTCACGAGCCTTTTGAAAAAATTATACAACAAAAATAATGATATTACATTTGTTTATTACACTATCTTCCAAAAAATGCAGGGTTGAATTATAGGGGTGTAGGAAGCAAGGGCCTCCTTCATGTTATGTATTGGCCCAATAGTCAACCATGCAATAGTTTAGCCCAATAAAGAAGCACTCACACAGTTTTCATTTCCACGTCGTTCAGGAACTGAGTCTTGAAACTTCATTTGGGAGTGACAGAGAAATCAGCGAGTGCACCATAAACCCCTCAAATTAAATCAAACAAAACCTTAAACACAATCGTAGATTGAAAACATAAAGAATCTGAAAGAAATACATGGGTTCGGGTAAGGAAGAAGCCTCAGATGGAGGACTGGATTCGCCTTCTTCCTCTTCTTCTTCTTCTTCTTCTCATGCTTGGAAAAGTAGAATCATTATTCCAACCCTACTAGCAGGTCTCTCTCTTTTTTCTCTCTCTTTTATTCTGTTGCTTCTTTGATTTCCCCATTAACTTGTTTCCAGAAATGAAATAAATAAAAAAAAAAAAACTAAGCTAAATTTTTCACTGGATCCCCATGATGAACACTAATTTTATTTTATATATATATATATATATACTCAATTAAACTAGAGGAGTTATTCCAATGTAATTTGGCTTTAGCTGAAAAGAGCTAGTTTTTGTGGCGAGCCATATTTCTACTGGAAAATGGACATATTTCGTGTCTCGAATGGGTGTCTCCCAAGGAAGATACATGTAGTTCTGGGAAAAAGTTAGAGGAGCTAGTTTGAGTTCTATAACACATTATTAAGATAATATTTTAGCAATATTTCATTATTCATTTTGTTCTTATAGTTTAACAAATTTTACCTTTTGGTCATTTTGTTCATTAAATATTACTTTTCATCGTTTTTAGTCGGAATTTAGATGACAGGGACAAAAGGAAATCAAAATAGTACGTATAAGGGCCAGAGATAGTAAAAGTAATATGTGTAGGGATTAAAATGGATAATTTTTAACGATTGGGACTTGAAGGTAAAGTTTATACAGTTATTGGGACTTAATGAGTAATTAAACCTTCTAGTAAAATCAATGGTGCAGACTTACATAAGATTGAGGATTTGAGTGAGGATAGAGAGTGAAAGAGGTTAGAGTGTTTGTATTTATGATGTTTGCGATTCTTTGGGAGCAGGGGTGGCTGGAGCTGGAACTGGGTTAATTTCAAAGCATCGAAAAACTCTTGGTCTTGCTAATGTGTGTTCTAGCTATGCTGCAAATTTCGCCATCATCACAGGGTGCTATTGTGGTAATTGGATTTTCTTTTGATCTGATTCTTGCTGTTTCAGTTTTGGGCGTGTTTTGAATTCATGAATTTATTGATTTGCTGCTGTTTCTTATGGATTTGAACCCTTCTCATTTTTCTTTTTACTTGGGAGTATAGTATCATATGATGGGAGACACCGCCTGGGAATTTTTGTTGCTGAGGCAGAAGCAGTTGATGCCTTCCCTCATAATGTGTTACCATGATTTTCTGAAAAATGAGAAGATCCATTATTGGGTAGGAGATTCTATATGTAACTATGAAAAGAAAATCATGGTCTCAATATTAGGAAGGAGTGTTTATATGTTACTGGCCTGTACTTGCCCTGATTTATTTTTAGCAGAGCCCTACTAGTATATGTATATGACCCACTTGTAAATAAGTGAAATATGCTATATTGTGTTATGGAGTGTAGTCTATAAATTGGAGCCTGGAGAGTGACCTCCATTTTTCCCCATTACCTCTTCTCTTAACCTTATGGAAAATTTTGATGAAGTGGATTGGTTAAATTTAAAAATGGTTTGGTAAAGTAACATTTTAACTATAAGAAGCAACATACCTTCATTAATAATAGGAATATTTTTGAGAATTGGAAAAATGAAGTACAATATGTTTTTATATTAGCAGATCTCTATTATTAATATTTAGATTTCTGGTAGGGTTCCTCATTCTTCAATGGTATTATGTTATGAAATTCATAATTAATTACTAATAATACTCAGAAAAAATTTATTTCCAGTTTGTAAGTTTGTTTCCAAAACAATACTTTGCTAATCTAATAAGTGTTTGGTTACTGAGTGTTAATTTTATAAAATGCTTCACAGATAAAATAATATAATAGTAATAATAATAAATCACTGCCTGTAAAATCCAATTTTTTATTTTTTTATTTTTAATCTATGTGGATGTGAGATATTGTGGGCCGTAAACTTTGAGTAGCTTCTCTCACCAAAAAATTGTCAAAGAATAAATTTGTATTTGAATTCCTCATAACTTTGCAATTGAATACCTTCTTTTCCACTTGATTGTAGCTTTTTGGTCTTTGAAAGAAGTTTGTTAAATCTATAATCTATTTACTTGCTTGACAAGAGATATAAATTATTAATTTTGTACATTTGGCACCATTCTGCAAGTTCTTTCCAATAGCTTGGGTGGCGGTTCACTATATTTAATGTTATGAGGTTACCACCTTCCCTTTTGTTGAATTGTGATAGGGACATGGCTATTATCGGGTGTATAAGTCACATTGAGTAGTATGAGATATTTGATTGAGTATTTAAGTTTTTGTTTCTCTCCCTTTGATAACTAGCTTTTAATGGCTTCTCTAAGTGCTTAGGTGCTTATAAATTGGTATTGGAGTTTGATGTCAGTGTTTTAGAAAGGGATACTTATAGTGAGTTTTGACTGGTGTAGGTTCTAACCAATAGGGAAGTTGAGTAAAGTGTAATCCAGTGAAGTGTAGCATAGCGCAACCTACTTCAGATGGCAACTCTCAGGTGGTGTTATGATATAAACTTGGATATTATGGAGAGTCTAAGTTCCACATTAAGTAGTATGAAATGCTATGGGGAATATATATTTGCTTGGTTTTCCTTCCATAATACTCAAGTCCTTGTCAAATTGAGGCTCTAGAATATTTGATTTTATCTTTGGACTTCATGTGTCAATTGAAAAGATTCAAGTCTAGTTTGTCTATAAGAAATTTTGTTAAGATAAAATGTTGAATCCATGAATTTATTTCGCTCTCTTGTTGGGAATTTGTTAGGAAACAAGGATTGAAAAGAGACCAACTTACTAACTATCCCTGTCCTTTTTCTCCTATTTATATCTAACTGCCCTTCTAACCTACAAACTAACTAACCATTAATATTTTAACTATCTTAACTAATTTCTCCTTCTCCTCATATCCTTCCAATATGCACCTCATGAAATCAACCTTGTTCGCAAGGTTGGAATAGTGGAAGCTTGATCCATGGCTCATCTTCATCCCCATGATATTCATCTGCCCCCTCTTTTGCCTTGGCTCCATTGCCAAGCTGTCATCCATAGATGCAATGAAGGTCAATGCTAAAGGCTCACCAACTAGTTGTAATTCCAAGATTCCAATGCCATTGATGTTCCAACCACCTTCATTATTAAATCTAGGTCCAACAATGATTCCTTTGATTCATATTATGTAAATTTGAATTTCGGAAGAAATGATGCTTGGTTGCCTCTCCACTTCGGACTTCCCTTTTTATCAACTCTACTATTGGATGTCAAGAAAATGGTATTTGCAAACCATATTCTTTACTTTATGTTCCTTATGTAACTCTATTGATTCATAAACGTTTTCTTCCATCATAAGTTATGTTTCTCTATATATTTGCTTTATTTTTGTTTTTTTATCCACTACTAAGGATGTAGTTCTTGGGCTAAAAGTTACCCTTAAAATACCTTTTGCCTAGTCCAGTAGGCTTCGTTGGAGGGGCCGTGTTGAAAGTTCCACATTGTCTGTCTCATGTAATGTGGTATGATTTAAATACCGGTTAGACTACTCTACATATTACAAATTGGTTTTATGTTGGAACTTTAACACCCACAAAGAAATAAGCACTCTTTCTCACAAAACCACTTCTAGCTTTTTCCAAGTTTATAATGCCGCATCAGTCAAATAGATAGTAGTTTATTGAATACAAAGGGAATAACTCTCAGAGAATATGAAACTGTGCTCTTGAACTAAAATGTTGGTTTCACTGAGGGAATACTACATCAATAAGCTTGCACTTAATCTTACAGAGTAAGACGCACTTTATTGAGAGTTGTGTGCCCGTAACATTGATTCATTGGATCTTAGGTTTGGGACTAATGGGGATAAAACCCTATTAGATCACATTTTACCTAATTTAATAAAATCCAATGTTGTTAATTTGTTAGGGGCACGTGAATTTGTGGCTGCAACTAGAGATACAGGACCTGATGACATATGGAACTCTCCATTAGCTGGATTTGGAACTGGTGCTCTTCTAGGGCGTCTGCAAGGTTTAGTTCTGCTCCTCTCACTCTTTTGTTGCTTCCTTTAGATTTTTGTCAGTCATAAACCTTGGTGAAGATTATCTATCTGTTCTTCACGTGATTTTTTCTTATATATGTTAAAATGAATTTTTCTCTTGGATCTTACTTATTATTACACTTTCTTTGTATTTGTATGATCTATTTTCTGCAACCTGTAACATATAACATTTATTCAGGGCATTTGATAGATCGTGCCCAGCAATTTAGACTGAAATAACCTTGCTTAATGAGATCTGAAATGTTTTCATGTTCTGTTTTCTTGCTCGGTTGTTTTTCTTTTTCTGTTTCCTTAACTTTTTTTCTAATGATTCCTACATTGTCATAAATTTTTGCATTAGTACCCGAATCATGATTCACTAGGGTAGTCAATGGCAATGGACTGGTTTTAAAAATAAACATCGATCAATAGTTTTATCCTAAAGAATTTGGATGGCTATGGCATTGTCAACTACTCACAAGGAAGAAGAAAATATATCATGATTATTTTAAGACAATTTTGTTCTCTATCTTGTATTACTACCTATTTTCAATATTCTAACTAAGGGTAAGGTTCTTCGAGTTTACACACCCTGAGAGAGGATGAAGGCAATGTTGAGAGCGGCTCTTAATTGCAATGGTGCCCAAGGGATTAGTCTAATGACAATGCTTATGGGAATAATTTGATCAAAGACAGAGTTTTCCCAGATTTTGTTTAAATTTTGATAAATGCATTATTTGATTGTAAAGTCAATGTAATAATTCTGGCTCAAATTGGTCAGTAATGACGGTAACAATTCCTAAAATTTGATTTCATTTGTGAAATTTTAGGTGGTCAACTTGGTGCAATCCGGTACTCTCTGGCCTTTGCTGTTGTCGGGACAGCAGCAGATTTTACTTTTTTAAAATTGAAAGATGCTTTGAGAGATCACGCCAAAACAATATACCAAGACATTGAGAATTCAAAGAAGAGTGGAACTTGGTTAAAATTACCACAATGGTTCCCAATTCAAGTACTCGACGAGGAAGCCCTTGCTGCTAAACGTGCTCAGGAAGAGCAGTTCCTTCAGCAGAGGGCTAGGATTCGCAGCCTTAAGAAAGAAGAAGAATCGTGAGAACTTAAATTTTTGTTGATGTTTGGCCTGATCGCGGAGTTCGGCAAACCTACACCCCTTAAGGCATTTTGTATACCTAATTTTATTTTATTGAAATAGTTTGTAATAAGTACTTCTCAAGCTGAAAACTAATGGCTTCAGCAGAGATTTTGAAAATGTTGAGATTGAAATTTATGTATTCATTTGGATTGTCTAATGATTTTTTCCTTTTCAGGGTAGACAATGTCCAGTTACTAACGTGAGGAAAATCTATAAATAGTTGAAATGATGTTGTATTTGACATTAACAATCTCCATCAAATTGCTTCATATGGCACCGATTTCTACTCTATTGTATCACTTAACTAATTTTCTTTGCTTTGCTCTTGGTGCTCCATCAAATAGTCCTAATGTGATTTGGGACGATTGTGTGGCTTTGAATTTCTAGTGCAAAGTAACTAGGAACTTGGAAATTGTATGCATACATGCCATGTACCGCTACCTTTACACTGAAATTATGTACTCGAATGACTTTCACATCAAACTTGGCCACATTAACTCTGTCAAAGTCTTCCCCTTAACAGGCCACAATTTCCTGAGTTAATGTAGAATTTAACTGTAACTATGTGTTCCACCACTTAATTTAAATTTTGACAATATAATAAAATTTAAACTAGTAGAAAAGTACCGATTTGTCAAATCCATGGAGAAACTTTGGTGGTGTTTACTTGTTTAACACATGGCTAACTAATATTCATTGATTGATACCATTAGGGTTTATTGCTTCATATATGTAAGTGTATTTTTCTTTGAATATTATCATCAATGGAAACTCAGAATAGACATTTCTATCCTTTTTTAGCTCTTTAATGATAGTTTTGACAGTAGCATACAGTAGTTTCTTTTCTTCACATAAACTATTGTGGATCTAATTATTCAATATGAAAAGAAGCATGAAAATATTACATATCTCTGGCTGGCAGAGAAGCAGCGCAAGAAAAGAAATATGAAGTAAAATATGTTGCTTCAATTACAAATTCATGAGTAACGCTCATTCAATGATTTGTGACTTCAAAACTCTGTAATTTTTTAATAAATTTTAGTTAAAATACAGAAAATATTCAAAAGAGTGCATCAGACAATATGAAATTTGCTGAATGAAGAGCTAGTTAGTTGTGATTATACCCCCATTTGGAAAAAAGAAGGAGGGCAAGGCAAAACAACACAAATGTAGGGTAGAAGTTAGGAGCAGAGGAAGCCATTATTGCTAAATGCAAATACAGATGTAAAAAAGGGTATATGATGTGTTTTGCAATGTGGAGTGCATGGACTCAATCAATTGTTATACAGCAATGGCTTGTTGCTTTGCTTGTATGCATTTGACTTGTTAAGAGACCCTGGGTTTCTTCTTTTCTTAATTGTTTTATTCTATTTTTGGTCCATTACCTTTGTCTCGTTTTTATTCCCAAAATTGAATTATTTCCAATTTTTGTTTCTGCATGATTGATCGGTAGTGCATATGATCTCTGGTAATCTACGATGAAATTTTTTTTTTTCTGGCTTCGTGTAGAATACATTCTTCTTGTCCACTTGTGATGGAAACCAATGTCACATTAAAATGTTAATCTTAGTATTTTATATTTCAAGTTGAGTGTTTATACACTGAAGAATGCCTCGAAACGGGTTGTGGATACGAGGTTGATTTTAGAAGGGGTTGAATAAAGTATGAGATTTTTTTTAAAAGAAATTGATAGGTTATTTGTGATTAAGGTAGAAGGAAGAAAATAAATTGAATTAAACTTATTTATGTCTAATTCTTCTTTAATTGTTTGGGGTTACATTCTTACCATTATTTATGATTATATATATTACATCAAATCATTTTTTATTATGTCTTCCTAAATATTTTTAATTTTCATTTCTGACTACAATAAAATAGTGTTTAAGGAGAAAAAGATATCACAAATATGGTATACAATAAAATTACAAAATTTCTACTTTCATTAGATGGAGGATATAATAAAGATTTTGAGAACTTCCACGGAAAATTACAAAAATGTTACGAAAGTTTCGGAAATCAGCTTTCATGCCGCATGATAGGTTTCAAATAAAAAATTGCTTGGAAGGAGGATGTTAATAATTTGTGAATTGATTTTAATGATTAAATTTATGTGAAACTCAAATTTGTTTGTTATTGTACACAGATTTAATCCAAATTAGATTACATAATTGTAAATGTTTGCATCCAATGGTTGATTTAAGTTGATTTTGGTACTTTAGAATGAAAGAAAAAGAAAGAATTCGAAAATGGAATAATAATCCTAGAAAGATGAGAATGAAAAGAAATTTATGGAATATATGACTAATTAAAAGAGTTTCATTTAATTCAAAATATCATGTTAGAAATATAAGTACGAGAATAAATATTGCATAATGAAAAAATTAAGTATTTTCTAAAAAATATTTATAATCTAATATTTTAATATTTTTAGTCGAGGAAGAAATCAACCTCTTATATAGATTAAACTTATGTTTTATGGTTGTTTTCTTTTCTAAATTAATCATTTCTTAAATATTTAACCATTAAAATTTTAAATAGAGAATTTTTTTTTACTATCATAAATATAATAATACTTTATATAATGTTTATTGATATTCAATTTTTGTGTGAAAAGTGTTTTTTGATATATATGTAATATTTGTGAAATTTGTTATAGTAGTTTTATAGTCATATGAATTGTAAGATCACTTAAAAGATAAATTTAAAAGAGAAATGGTTGAGTTGTAATCTCTATAAAAAAATAGAAACTTAGTTTATGGTAAATCTTGTCATGAAAATAAATTAAAATTCATTAATACTGTAATTGCATCAAACTATTTTCTTGTAAGATATGTTTTCTTGCTTCTTTCTAACTTATTTTTGTTATCTTTTATTTGTTGTTTATGTGATTAACAATTCTATTTGATGAATTTGTTCAAATGTTTCACTACAAATGTGAAAGATAAGAAAAGAATAAATTAACAAGAAAATATTAAAATAGAAAAATATCATAAGAACAAACAAATTATCATGATTATTTTTGTTATTTGGTGAAATGTGTCCAAATATAAAGAAAAGATTTATTCTGAACATTTTAAAAAATTTAATAAGATTATAATATTATTCTAATGATAATTATTTACAATTTTTTTATAATATCTAACAAATTTAATATAAATTTAAATTTACACAAGTACAATTAATATTTTTTATATTTTATGTATTTTATAAAATTTTAAACATATATCTTCCATATATTCTATCTTGTTATAATTTTTTTGTTAATATAGCAGAAATAATTTTTAACAAAAATTTGTTTCCTAGACAATATTATTCTCATAACAATTTTTTTTTTAAATTACAGAAACTAAAATCACAGAAAAAAAATTAAGAAAACCAAAATAATGTATTGTTAGTTAAAGGAGGGAAATTATAATTTAGCCTAAATAATTATCAGAAAATTATTTTAATCTTATTTTAATGAGTTTGATGATCTAACATGCGAATAAGCTTGCATTAGATTGAAAAGTTACTGAATCTTGTTAACTAATCATAACAAAAGTTGTGAAATTGGCACCAAACTTGCACAGTACAATGAAACAATGAAAATGGGCGAACTAACCAAACGTTTGAAAAACAAAGACCCCATTGTAACATTGTGTTCTTAGTAGGAACCCCATCCAGATTTGTGTGGTACACCCAAATGATGAGGAAGAGACAAAGAAAAGTTGGATTCAGGATTTGGTTGAAACCATCCAAGGTGTTGAATGAGTTTGTTGATCTGAGCTCCAGCTACATAAGTAAGCAGCGAGGCCAATACTCCTGAGGTAACATAGAATGTGACAGTTTTGAAAAATGTGATGAAAGTGTTATTGGGTCTTTGGGACTGATCTTTGGCAATGGCAAGCAGTGTGATACAAATTAGAGAAGCTCCTGCAACTGCTGCAAGCTTCAGATCCTTATCACCACTCTCACCAAATGAGAAGCCATACACTACTGGGGGCACTAACCCAAATATAAGGAATGATAGGAACGCAAAAAAGGCATGTAGATAGAAATTCTCCCTCTTTCCCAACAGTTCAGTATATTTATCTGCTTCTGCCTCTCTTTCACTTCCTTCTTCTTCTCTTGCTTCTCCTGGTTTTGAAGCTTTCAAGTCCCTCAGCTGTAAGCATTGTAAAGGATCATTCCAAAGAAATAATGATTATTGGAACAAAGAACAAGAAAAGGGAGGGGAAGCATGAAGCATGATTTGAACAAAAACTTACATTATGAGTCAAGACTACAAGTCCACCGATCAGATTTGCAATGCTCAGAACAACAATACTCACTGCACACACAATTTCAGCATATAGAGTGTTGTGGAATGATAACTTAAAATGCAAAAGTATGAGAAATTGAAGTTGATTACGTACATGTGGTAGCATCAGCGCTTGCTGCAGAAGTCACAACACTGAGGCTTGCAAGTAATTCAGCAAGACCACCATATACAATGCTTTTAAGAATTTCCCAACCCTTACTACTCTCTGTTCTTGGGATGATTGGTAGTAGTGTGTTAGGGTCATCTTCTACATCAAGGGATACTGTTCAACATAAATAAATAATACCATAATTAATACACTAATTTGTTATTCTAATCATTAAGAACTCAATAATTGTGTCCAATTGCTCAACTAGTTAATTTACATTAAAAATAGGTTATCACCTTAACTTAAATAAGTACAAAAATTGTACAGTGTGATTATGAGGGTCTGATAAATACAACAGCACCAACAAAAGAAGCAAGTTGAGGATATACATTACCATGAGGACGTTGTGGTGTTACCAACCCAGTTATAAAGTCTTTGCCTGTTAAAATACAAAGAAGAAAAAGTCAAAGTCTTTGATAGTATTCTATTTTATATGAATTAAGCACTGTGAGCTATTCAAAATGCTACAACATGCACTCCACTTTCTATTATTATTCAATGTGTTTTCACGTG